TAGGCAATGAATAACGGCCAGTCCCTCACTATCACGCATGTTTAGTACGCTTCTTCCAGTTCAATTAAAATCTGGTCGTTCAGGGACCTCATACGCGGGTGGCTCAAATCCAAGGTTGACACTGCCATAAATGTGCGGATCAGGACCCTCCAGGACATCGTACACGGATGCATTGGCGTAATCATAGTTAGGCCCCTCAGGGACATTATGTAGTGGTGTTAAATAACATTGTTCTCCATTTAAACTCTTATTAGAGGCCTCATTTGCCGATATCTTTTCAAGTTCGTCTAAATCTGCATAGTCAGCATACTCAGGTGATTCTTCCAAATCCGCTGGGGGTGGACCTGTGGTGTAGGGCGGTTGATACTCAGGGGGACTGGGTAAGTTTTTTCCTGGGGTTTCACCAGGGTTGAGAAGGGCTAGATATTCAGGTACTTCATATTGACGCTGAAAGAAAAACAAAGGATTTGGTGAAACAAAGACTTAATTAAGCCTACGAAGTTCAGTGTAAAAGGCGTTTCAAATCTCTCTCTTGAAAACATCTAATATCTAACTCTACTAATCTCCGCGAAAATTCCGAGGTCGTGGATTCGGGCCTGAATCTCTTCCACCCCGTGTTGCGTTCAAAGGCAAAAGATCAAAAGATGCCCCTTCGTTTACGAGATAGTGCAATCAAGAACTGGGCTGCTTTTGCTAGCTTCTCTCAATTATTGGCTCAGAAGACTCGAGCAACCCTGTCCACCAATCAGAAGCAAAACTAAAACCAATCCAACCTTGGTCACCCGTGTTTTCCCGCGCTTTGAGTCCTGAGCTCTCATTGGCTCCTTGTCATATTATATTTCTTTTGATTGGTCGTTTGGTGACTTTGATTTTGGTTGAACGACACTCAATCGAAATACGTTCTAGTGTAATCTTAAAACAGAGGAACACTTAAATACCTCCTGTACCACGCTTTTTATTAAGGGTTGGTAGATTAATCCATCGGGATTCAAGCTCTGATAAGTGTTTAGATTAGGATCTGACGTGCAGCTTGCCTCGACGTCTGCTTCCACCAAGCTCTGATAAACAGGTTTATCTTGATCTGGTTTTCCATTGTTATGGGATCTAACGTGAGCACAGTCGTAAGAATTTTCCTTGGTAGGAATAATATTTCTACTGGACGTATTGAGTGACTTTTTCGTGGCGTTGTTCAGCAGTATCTGCTGGCTGTTCTTTGCTCCAGGGTTGTTTATTAGCAAATCTTCACAATTCTCGTAGGAAGGATTGCCTGGAAATGTAGAAAAATTAAATAAATTTCAACCCACCAAAACTGACCTTGAGGCCTTCCATACCCATATTCCAAATTACCTCCGTCTCAACACTAATCCAATTTAGTTTAGGCAGCTAGCTTAGTTAATTTAGTTTGATATTTCAATCTTAATTGCTGAGCTTAATTAGCTATAGTTATTTGCAGTTCAGCCAATGTAATAATGATGAACTGAAAGGATAAATAAATAAATAGAGTATTCACCCTTCCAGCCGTCCTTTGAGCTCGTCACAGCCTCCACTCCAGTCCCCACCCAGATTGTCGCGTGACATGCCCAAATGACAGCTGGGAAGAGACTAACCTTTTCCCCTTCATTTTCAGAAACCGATCAAGGAAAGCCCCAAGGGAAGAGGGTAAGTTTGAGTTACAATCAACTCACCTATAAGACTGACGGAAGACTTGCGAACCAGAGCTTCTGGTTCCATGTAGACTGCGTCGTCGCACACGGGATTCTTAAAAAAGCCAGTCATAGGGAAGTGGTTCTAGAATATAAAACACAAAACTACCTAGTGGGTTAAATTCACTAAGTAATTGTTGTTAAATAAAAGAAGACGTCTTAAAGAACCGGGAAACTTTTCATCTTTGCCCAACACAGGAAAGTAAAACACATTTCAAATGAGAGAACAAACTGTGATTTGTTATAGTTCTCCACCTGATTTGTTAAAAAAAAAAAAAGTTACGCGAATCTTGTGAATTACAAAACGAAGCTAAGAACCGGATTACATTAAAAAACCAACAGAAAATTGCTTATAGTATCAATAATTTCCATTGAGGCTCCCTTTCAATCAATGAAAAGCACGCTGACTAGAAGCCAATCGCGCTTGCCCGCACTTTGGGTTGATTGCATGTGATTCCTTCGAGTTCTCATCGGCTGCTTGTGATAAATTTGTTTTTGTCGGACTTCCCGCTGTTGTTACTTTCAACTGGCACAAGTTAAACGACGCTCAATCGAAACGCCGAGCAAGTGACCAACCGAGAGGAAAAGCCATTCAACGGGCAATTTAGCGATATTGAATATATATGGTTGGATCCTAATAAGTAAAAACCAAAGACTGAGGATTGCAAGCTTAATCCATTCTTATTTTCCAAAAGAGATTCTGGTGTATTTTCTCAAATTTCACTTCCGTTTACCCTTTACACCCTAACATCAATATGCACATTCTTTCTATTATTCTCTAGAAATTTCTTAAGGTGCTGACAATTTTTTAACAACCAAGAGCTTCTTCAAGTGGTAATCATTTCTTTTGTTCTAGTGAGCTTTAAAATGTTTGATTCACGAGTGAAAGAAATTAGATGCCAGTCACTCCTTGGGGTTATAGGATTAACCAGCAAAATAGTGATTTCAAAATGTCTCAACTAGTTTTTGATTTCTTGGTGTAACACTTCCTTCTCCTAACTAACTAATACAGAAAATAACAACAGCCGAAAGGCAGAATTACTGGTCAGACTGTAGAAACTAACCACTAAGGTGGCAACTTACCTGTGCACCAGTTGTAGGGTTTGCAATAACTGAAAGTAAAAAAATGAAACAAATCTACATGAAAAAACTAAACGATCCAGAAATACAAAAATCAAAGAACAAACGGGAAACCTTCCTGCAGTTTAGTATACAAAATATTTATTTGTAGCTCACGTAGTACTAGAAAAGATGATTCCCTAATGACTGAAAGAACTCGTGAACCTTTTGCACAATGACATTCAATGGTGACATATTGCTTCATTTCAAAGATAATTGAGCACAAAACTATGTTAATTTAATTTAAGAGCGATCTTCACGGTAATGAACACTACTTAAGCAGTAGTGAAAATATGGCCTGAAAAAAATTCAGACCCGTACGGGATTTGAACCCATGACCTCTGCGATACTGGTGCGGTGCTCTATCCACTGAGCTAACAAGCCAACTGGGGGCTGGTCATTAGGTTGGTTCATGATAAACCCGTGAAGTTAAGTAACTTAGGAACACTTGATAACTCTACCTGTTGTTCCAGCACCATAACTTTCAGCATTCCTGAAAAGTGAGATAAAATATTTCAATCAGAGTTGAGGTGAAAGTAGCTTTCATTTTAGTTGTCACACACTAGGGATTCCACCAGAGACTCTTAGGGCCCATAATTCAAACAAAGTCTGGCCATTGTTTAACAAAACCACATCCTAAACAATCATCAATTCAGCTGAATGTTTTTATCTTATGAGTGTTTTAAGTTAAGAGTGTCAAGATGGTCGAAAGCTAACAGAGGATGGACATTTTAATTTAATTAAATCAATCCTCTAATAGAAAGCAACTGAGGCTCCCTGATTGTGTAAAACCCTGGTTTGGTTTAGAGCTTGTGTAAATAACCAGAACTTAGAATCAAAACTTCCTTAAGCAGTAAAATAAATATTTAAAAGCACTGCTTTACAGCTTTCATTTGAATTGTCAAACACAGTGGTTTCATAACGATGTCATATTATTCAGCATACAAATTCATTTAAATGGCCACATATAGGGAAAATTTTTTTTACCAGACCTGAAAGTCTAATACAAAACACAATCAAAGCCACTGCCAACTATTGACAGTTACCTGTGCTTTCTCCGCTGACTGATAATGAGCCAAGTGCACAGCAACCCAACAGAAATGCAGATCACAGCAGCCACACCTATCACTATAAAAATCATCATGTCCTCTAGCTTGTCTTGTTTTTGAGCACTAAACTTATTTTCATTGTTTTCTGGCTCTTTATTTCCTGAGCTGTGGTGAGTTGGCTCCAAAGTTGCAAAATCTCCTGCAGTTGATTCTGTTGGCAATGTTTCGGAAGGGTGATCTGTGAGAACTTGACTTTCAGTAGTGGAAGTATTGTCTGCCATGATTATGGTGCTTTTTGTATTTTCTGTTGTTTTTGCCTTAGACGTAGGGACCTGTAAATGTATTCAAAGTATTTTAAGTTAAACAAAACACCTGGAGGCGTTTTTGTGGATGCATTGGTCGTTATCTTTAGTCACTCTGGTTTTATGTGGAAAATAATAAAGCTATAAAGCTGACTCTTTAAAGTAAAGGAATGCAATTGAAAAATAAAGACAAGGAAAAAAAAGTTAACAAAACAGGATTTCTCTTGCTCACCCATTCAAGTATTAACCACAGCAAATAGAGCCTACCTTCAGTGAGAAGCAAAAGCACATGGCTAATTTCCATATCTGACTACCAAAACATTAAAAACAAATTTTTAATGCATCTGCTCAAGGGCACAATAATTTAATTGCTTCTCTGTGAATGATAAAGGAGCTGCTGTCAAATGAATCCCTAAATTAAGCCAAATTGGTCTGGCAGCAGCACAACCACAAAGAGGCTCTTGTAGGACAGCAGAAGTAAGTACTCTTTTCACATACCTTAGTTGGAGAGGTTTCAGCATTTGCAGATGTACTTGTCCTTTTTGTTGTGAGGTCCACATGATTTGTAGTTGATTTGACTGTTACAGCCGAAGCCATGTGTGTTGACTTTCTTGCCGTAGCTTTTGTTGTTGCTATTGTTTTTGCTTTTGTTGTTGTTGTCACTGTTGTTCCTGCTGCTGTCGTTGTTGCTGCTGTCGTTGTTACTGCTGTCATTGTTGCTGCTGTCGTTGTTGCTGCCGTTGTGGTTGCTGCTGTTGTGGTTGCTGCTGTTGTGGTTCCTGCTGTTGTGGTTGCTGCTGTTGTGGTTGCTGCTGTTGTGGTTGCTGCTGTTGTGGTTGCTGCTGTTGTTGTTGTTGTTGTTGCAGCCTTCTTGGTGATTATTTTAGTTGGATGCTTTACTGTTGTAGACTGTGCTTTGGTAACTGGTGGTTTTTGAGTTGAGGGGTCTGGAATGGTCACTGCATGTAACAAAGAAATAAAAGAGTAGAGTTCAAAAGCACCACACTTACCAAAGAGTGCAAGCTAACAATACTCTAACTTACTTTCTCTATGCTATTGATACCCAGATACACTGCAGCAGTAGGATCAGGTCCTCTTAGCTTATAAAACTTAATCTTATTAAATTAATCCCTTAACTCTCATAAGTGACCAAGACAGAATTTCTTATTACAATATCGATACAATATCAAGCAGACAAGTGATGAGAATAAAGAAAAATATCAGTTAGGGGATTATTAGTTGATCCAATACCAAATTCTCAAAACTAACATCACAAGAACTGAATGACAGACAGTAAGGAGAATTACTAATGAGATCTTGGGAGTTAAAGGGTTAATATGGAAACATGGGTATGTACCTGATAATGTTCCTCTCGTTTTGAAAAGAACACAGTATCTCTGTGTATTTTTTCCTTTCCCACACTCTACATTCACTCTCATGATGTAACCAAAATATGCAGAATTTAGATGTCCATCCCACTGTGATAAACAAAAAGTTTAAGAGCTTACTGAACTGCAACTCAAATTTGTATAAATTATTTTCTGAGATGCAGATGCAAAAGGTTAATATAATAATAGATAAATATACATGGAATTATGTGATCCCCAGTTAAGGTAAAAAAAAAATTGAGATAAAAATAGTAAATAAAATAACCAGTAAAACTATAATGCCAGAGTTCCAGGCTCAACTTTTTTCTAAGTAGCTGTAAAAAAGGAAAAAAATCATATTTGACAGCCTTTGTTCATAAAATGGTCAACAGAAATAACATTTTGGTTTTAAGAAGAAACCTTATGGGATATTAGTTGATGTGCAAAGCCACCGACCACTTTGCTAGACTTCAGAGAGAGAGGTAGAGCTGGAATTTGTTTTTGGAGATTTATGCAACATCTCAGGGCTTCATACTAAAGTAACTGAGGAAATGGAGGTAACTTTTATTAACCCTTTAACTCCCAGATAAAATTTGTAATTCTCCTTACTGTTAACTATACAATTCTTAGAATATTAGTTCAGAGAATTTAGCATTGGATCAATTAATTATCCCCAAATTGATATTTTTCTTTTCTCATTAGTTATCTGCTTGATATTTTATTGATATTGTAAGGAGAAATTCTGTCTTAGTCACTCATGGGAGTTAAAGGGTTAAAAAAAAAATGGATCTTGAGAAATATTTCCTAAAAATGTTCATCTCATTTTGAATTCAGACAAGTCACAAAACAATGCCCCCCAAAAGGTAGTGAGAGTAAAATGGCTGCTAAATCCAACACTCATAACCCTTTAACTATCCAGATCTGATTGTCAAATCTCCCCTCTAGCTCTAACACATTTCCTTGTAAATTAGTTAAGAGAATTTGGTGTCATATTGGGATAAAAACTTCTACCTTGCATGTTTGAATATTCTCATTACCTGTTTGCTGGATAATGTATGAATATTATGGGGAGAAGTTTCATGTTAATCACTTCTAGGAGTTAAAGGGATAACAATCAAATCTTAACCTTCTAATCCCTTAGAGTGACTAGCAACTATTTTCTCCTTACAATAACAACCACAAATCATCTATTTAAGTACAAAGAATAGAGGAAATGATCACTAAATAAAATAAGCTATTGATTGTTAAGCAAATTCTCCTTATCAGCGCCTAGGGAAATGTAAAGAGAACAGTATGGAGAATATGTATACTGATGCAAGAGAGTTAAGGGTTAAAGTTGAGAAATTTTCAAACAGTCATTACAACTCTTAATCATTGAATATTTTACAAAACTATCAACCATCATTCTTTTCTTCAGCGATTCAAAGTGACCTTTTTTCAGCTTCATTCTCATGCCTTGTGCAGGGACTTTGTTCCCCTTTCTTGCACCCAAAGTAGTGTTAAGGTAGCATAAGTGTTGCAGCCAGTATTGTATTTGATCACTAATATCTCTTGCATATTAAATCTAAGTAATTCCCAAGCAGTGTATTCCCCATACTGGAAGTAATTTTAAATTTTATTCCATGATTTAAGTCAGCATTTTATCGCAAGTACAGTCACAAGTCAACTGTGACTATTTTTTTTTTTTTGTTTTTTTTTTTGGACAGTGATTTAATGTTTTGTACTGTATTGCATTGTATTTTACTGTACTGCTCTGTAATCTGTTGGTGGAAATAAGTACAGGAAGAAAAAAATCCTTACTTTAGTCTTGGTCAAGGGTACCTACCAATAATGCTGTATATGGCCAGTTTTTAATGCTGCTTATACTAAATGTATCAGTGTCTTTCTTGGCTAACGGTTTCCATGTTATGTCTAAATATTCCACAGATTTCACTTTGCATTTGTTTGATAGGTTTATAATTCCCTTAAAGCCTGATGCTGAAGGATCCAGAGCTATCAAAGGATGGGCCGATGCTTCTGATTCAAACAACTTTGAACAGCCTTTTTAAAGGAAAAAAAATGATTATGATTACTAGTGCGCTTAATTTTGTCACGGCTTTAAGAGGACGGAGGGACTGGGCGACGGGCTGTTCTGCATTACTCACAATTATATGACCTGATGACCCAGGCTGGATTCTTTTTTTGGCAATGTTTCGACACATTATCTCAAAACGGTCAAGTTTGGATTAGACCCCACTGACTCCGATTACGTAACGTCACTTCCATTACAACTCCATAATAATGAATGAAACCTCCTCGTCATAGCTGTAGGATTTAATCATGGATCCCGTTGGTAGATAAAGCGATATTATCATAACTTTTGCAGAATAGTATTATTTCGATCACCTGGATTATTTCGAAAGTACTTGCGATACTCAATCTCGGAGCAAGGCCCTAAATTGTCTTGGATTTAGGAATGAACGAAAATTTCTTAATCAGTGGATCATCGGCTAATTTCAATTCAAGAATATTCCGTCAAAAGAAATAATTGAGGTATATTTGACGTCTCCTCTGCATACATATCATTTTAGCAGGTCGAGATTTAGGAAATATTGATTGCGAAATGTAAAATATCAATATTGATAATCTTGAGCCTACCTGCAAAAGTACGAATGTCCTTGTTTCCAACACAACTTGCGTTGTATGGATTCATTTTCAACTGAAAGGTTGCATCAGAGTACTGGCATTCACAGACACAACAGCCTTGAGAACTACAATAAGCTTTCCTTTCCACACACCACGGTCTTCCGGCATCAAGATTTGGTTTCTCGTTGGGGCATTTTGCAGATGGGTCAAGATTTGTAAAAAGGTCCTTCGACCCCAAATTTGTTACTAAGGCGACTCGAGAAACATTGAACTGCAGTCCTTGGCATGTGCTAAAGATTAAGGAGCATAACATAAAAAGCTTAGTCGGCATCTTGTGGAAAATATCAGTGTTTACTATAAAGCTGACTTCGAGAGTTGTTTTGCAATAATTATAAAGGATTAGTAGTATCAGATTCCCCCCTTCACGTCTCTGCAGATACCACGCCTGCCTGAGCCAGACACGCACATGACTCGAATTCCGAAGAATATCTCGGAAAAAGCCGATCTTAGACGAAGCTTAGCCGAAGTAATATCCTATGGGCGGCCGTCACCA